ACAATTCGATTCGCCATCTCTGGATTTTGCCACTTTTAATTTTACTAGAATGTTTAATATCATACATGAAAGCTACGGACCGTTGATCGGTAATAAGTTTGAAGTTTGTTCCGAGGAGTGGCACCACTTTCGAACAGTTTCCACAATGGCACATACTTCTTTTTCGACGGCTGCATCCTATTTTTCACTGGACGGGATAAAGATCCCTTGTCGGTTGTTCTGACACATTGAGACACCAAAGGTTATGTTGGATGCATCCATTTCAGCAACCAAAGGAATACTATAACCCATCGTCACAACCATAGCATTTTCTAAGGCCAGTTTGAGCTGCTCGAATGCACTTCCCACATATGAAGGAGGAGGAGGAGGACGAGGAAACACTCGGTTCTTAATCAGGGAACTAATTTTGTCCGAGAATGATGGAATTGTAGGGGGAGTTGAATGTTAGGTAGAAATTCGTTACATCTAGACACACGCAGACAGCCATCACACTCCCGGAAAAGCACTGTACGAATCCACTGAGAGTTGTAAGCGAACGTCCCTACAACTCGCTTTTGGGTCTTTAGGTCAGTGGGCAGTAGTAGTTGACGTAGAGGCTTCATCCGGGCCTTATTTCATCCTTACATATGTAGTAATCGAGGAGGTGGATTTCCTCGGAGGCAGTAACGGTTTTAGTGTTGTTCAAGGTGATATCGTACTTAGCAGCTGCTTTCAAAAAGTGTTCGAGGTTATACTCATGGTTCTCTCGTGACCCCACAAAGTGTCACGTTGTCAATGTAGGCAAAAGTGTCGTTAGAGCTTTCCACTTTCAGTATCTCGCTGATCGTGTGCTGCAAATAGACCACGCCATTGTTAACTCCAAAGGGAATACGACGAAATTGCAAAAGATTTCCACACTCTTCAAAAGCGATGTAAGGCTTTTTATGTCCGGCGATAGGGATCTGATGGTAAGCATTTTTCAGCTCTAGCGTGCTATATACAGCATAACGAGAGATGGTCTCCACCATCTTTTCGATTCGCAGTGGTGGATAGGCATCGAGAAGGGTGAAACACTTGACCGTTTGGTTGTGATCGACAACCATCCTTTTCTTTTGGTTTCCATTTTTGGTAACAAGTAGCTGTGACCTCCAAGGCGAGCTTGACTGCTCAGTGATGCCCTCATTCAAAAGTCGTACTTCGGCTTTTATAAAGCTCTCGTCGTCAAGGGATTAACGTCGGGATTTGATAGCAAAAGGACGACAATCTGAGAAAAGGTGAGCAAACAGGGGAGGCGATCCTATTTTGGCTGCGGTGTCTACACAACGAGAAAGTACCGCGTCTACCACCAAACCATATTTCCATTTTGTTGTGCAATCCAAGGAAGTCATGGCCGAGCAGAACATCGCCGCATTGGTTCCGCATGACAGAAAGCTGAAGGTTGTTGTAGGCAACGTCTTGGTTGCGGATTTTCACATTACAATATCCGATAACTGCACATGACAGGCTATTGTGCTTTTGGAGTCACAGGGAAGGACGTTCCAGTGGTGCGAGTTGACTACACATTGAGATACATAGGTGTCAGAACTGCCAGTTTCTATTAGGACATGTAACTCGATGTTATTAACAAGAAGCTTAGTTGGATGTAATTGGATGTTGCTCTTCCCAACTCTGGCACACCACAGACTCATCAGGTGAAGATAGCCTGAGCTGGGGTGGAACTCAGAGCTTAGTACTTCATGGCTGACGCCCTGAACTCTATACTACCGAGATCCGCGAGCAACGCTTGGCACAGCGGAAAGTAATTCAAAGCTGCATTTAGGGAGCACGCTGTGTGGTTGGGTTGCGACTCGCAACCTCTATTGAAACCTCTGCTCACTTTGAGGTAAACCTCGGTCATTCCGGTCTCGAGGACCGTATCCTGAATGAATATAATTGGGTGTTGCTCTTCCCAACCCTGGCACAACACGGACTCATCAGGTGGAGATAGCCTGAGCTAGGGTGGAACTCAGAGCTTGTTACTTCATGGCTGACGCCTTGAACAGCTTTGAACAAGCTTAGTTGTTGGGCGAGACAGACATTTGGGAACAACAGCCGTTAGAATAGAAGACAGGAAGGGACGAAGAGCTGAAGTGACGGGGATATAAGCTGACTTTGATTTACACACACATTTGAAGTGTCCAACCTTTCCACAGGTCTTGCAAGTTGCTTCTCTCGCCGGACACTTTCCACGAGGGTGTTTGGGATGACCACCGCAATAGCAAGTTTCTCTAGGTACGGCTGTTAAGACGGGTTTGGTTTCAGGTGAGTGGGTGGATGGAGAATGTGTACGTTGAGAAAGGGACACAGATTGAGCTGAAGACCAGGGAATACTCACAGTTTCGTAGGACCTTGATTGTTTAGTGGCAACTTCAAGAGACCTTGCGATATCATAAGCAGTTTGAACATATAATATCGTATCTTCCAGCAGTCTCGTTTGAATGCTGTTTGACTGTACTTCAATTACAAGAGCGTCGCGCATAGCATCACGAAAATCAGTCCTTCGCTGACTGCTTGATGTTTTGCACGAACTGATCGTTGCTCTGCCCACACTTTGCTTGCACGTGGATAAAAGATATGGAACAAAAACAACATTCCTGGGGCACATACATAGATTGCAGAAGTGTAGCGGCGTTATCAAGTGTTTTGCATTCAGAAACATGTATAGAAAGAAGAATTGTAAACTTAAGGAATACACTACACGACTCATAGAGGTCGATCCTATGAAGTCTTTCGAAACGCGTATCGACGATTATTTGGGAAACCTGTGCTTTTGTGAAACGGTGCACATACAATGCAGAAAGTACACCCCATACCCGGAAATAATGACACCAATACGAATTTCTGACCGAATAAGGAGAAAGCATTAACTGACCAAACATTCCCGCTGACAATCCGCGATTAAGTGTTTTTGATTTTTCGTAATTCGATAGCAGCAACTTTTCTACTTGCTCTTAAATGCAGTCTTAGTCTCCTAGACCGAAGAGGAAAGCAAGTTGAGGAGCATGTCAAGATTGTCCAAGTCATCAGATTGGATTCGTTTTAAGAAGCCGCTGGATGTTCGAAACCAATTGGTCCATTGCTTAAAAGCATCAGATGCATTTAGATCGGTGTGGAATTTCTATGGACGAAGGTAGCGGTCCATGGCAATGTTAGACCAGTAAATTGATGCGTGGAACGAAAGTAGTACAACAAACTAGATAACTCGGTGACGGAGGAATATGCTTTGCTGGCCTAACAACAGTAGTACAAGAGCTGAAATGTAAAACATCATAATCATCATTTTACACGTTAGCTGCAGATGGAAAACACATCGGCTATTGTGCCTCAACACAAAGACAAGAAAAGGAGAACAAACAGTGGCACGGCGGCTGAGTTCCCAGTAACGGATGGGCATCGTTCTGGAGAGCTAACAGCTGGCTATCGTGCCGCAAAAGCAGTTATATTATGCCTAACGAGTGAGATCCAGATTGGAGGGGGATGAACAAAGGAACTCACAACACAAACGTCATTGGGGCCGGCTCCAAGCCATATCAGCAAGTGTGTCCAATCAAACTTGTTCACCGTCCTTAAGACCCCAGCCAGGCAGTCGGGATGCACCAACCGACGCCAATTTCGAAGTGAGGGTTTTCATCTCTCTCTCGACCAAGTCATCACTTGGCCTCCCCTCCTCCTCTTCCAACCGCACCCACAACGCGCGAGCAATGCACGTCGCAGAAGTCGGTGTGCTAGCATGCGCAACACGTGGCCCAGCCATCGGAGCTTGGTGCGTGATATAATGGTGCTGAGCGGTTCACTCGCTCTAATGTAAATGTAATGTAAAACAACAGGTTATGATGCGTTAGGTACAAACCAGGTAAGTGAATGAAAATGTGTTGATACGACACATAGGGAGATTAGTGTCATATACTTTCTTTCAATGTACTCACCGTCACGCTTTTAAGACATCTGTCTTTTACCCGTGCGGAACTTGCGTGAAGAACAAGTTTGCTTTCATTGCAGTTGAAGCCATATTGGTCACACTTATACGATCCACCAATTATCTGAGTATCTTCATTAACGCAGTAAGAAGACAGAGGTTGCGATATGTTAACATTTCGATTGCTCTCGTCAGTCGCTACGCAATACAGGCAGAAAAAACACGCAATATATAGGGTCCACACTTAGTAACATAGATAAGCAGTTGGCAATTGGCGAGGCGCTACTGATAAGGTTGAAGTGTCCCGTGCTCTGTGCCCAGAAACAACTGAGACAATCAATTAGATTGCCTTTCTCCTGACTACGTCATTCCCATCATTTTTACCTGCTTATCTATGTTACTATGTGTGGACCCTATATATTGCGTGTTTTTTTCCTGCCTGTATTGCGTAGCGACTGACGAGAGCAATCGAAATGTTAACATATCGCAATCTCTCTCTTCTTACTGCGTTAATGAAGTGGCTGAAGGGGACTCAGTGTTTCAAGTATCTGAGTATCGTCAAACCTTCGGTCGGCCAGTGATCGATGTCTTCCTAGACATTTGAGTCATATATGCTCTCTGGTATTTGCCTGTCTGGAGGACGAATCCCAGCAGTGCATGTTGATCTATCTTAAGCCAATTATTCTAAAACCTCGGGCCGAGTGCAGGTTTATGGACTATCTTTTACCCACTTTCGTTGTCTCCAGTGTTGTAAGGTAGGATTGCCTATCATCATGTCCTGTAAAATTCTCGGGGGCAATTTTAACTCTGCTGTAGAGTTGCTCCCTGAGTACCGGCTTCAATATCTGGAATGCGCTAATAACTTCACTGTACTTGTTTTTTACAAATAACCCAAAATACACTTGGTAGGCTTGAAGTGCTTTTCTCTCAGTTCGCTAATACCGTTGCGTCAAGTTTGTAGTCTTTTTACCATTCCACTATCTGCTCTCCAGCCGACTCATACTACTTGCTTGCTAGCTGTGATTAATTTATATGGTCGTCTATAAAGTATTTGTTTTGCTTTCCAGCTCCGTCTGAGGATTTCGTCTGCTTTACCTATCGGTTAAAAAAATCCTCGGACTCTCGCATTGCCCTCATATTACATTTGACTCATGGCTTCATCCTTAAAACTTTCGAATGGTGAATTGATGCCTACTTTGGGCTTTGGAACCTGGACTGTAAGTTCATCTGCCATTGACGGTGCGTGCAGTTGTCCCCAGATAAAGCATCCTTGGCAATCACGTCGGCTCTTGAAAATGGTTATCGCCTTTTTGATTGCGCTTATTTATATTCGAATGAAGCGGCAATCGGAGAGGCTTTGGAAAAATGTTGCCCGAAATTCGGATTGGAACGCAAGGATATTTTTCTTACTTCTAAGGTGTGAATTGTCTTGACTTTATTCCATTGTCCCAGTGTTGGTGCACCTTCATGCGACCGGAATTGGTGCGGAAATGTTGCGAAAAGAGCTTGAACGATTTGAAGGTGTCATATATCGATTTGTACTTGATACATTGGCCAGTGGCTCTTCAGGTAACATTCACTTCATTTTTTTGCTCATCTCTCAGCCAGGTGAACCTAACTATCCTGTGGCTCCTGATGGCATCAATCTTGCTGTGGATAAAGTACCTTTGTTGGATACTTGGGCCGTAAGTTTTACCTATGCTGTTACTCTTCTATACGTATGTGCATATAAAAATGAGAATCTATTACTGCTCAAGGAGAGTCAGCTATAGGCTTTATCGCTGTTGGTGACTTCCACGCATTTTGGTCCGTTTAGGTTAGCCATGCGACACTTAACTGAATTAGCTGGACTTCGTGACCGACCTCCGTGCCTCGGGAAGCCTATCTCCTCAAAACGGCTTGCATAGTTCGCAGACTCCAAGTGTTGTGCCATTGACCGCGGCGGTATAACAGTTGATGCTTTCACGGACCATAAAGGATGAACCAAATGTCTTTGCGATATTTATGAGCCATCCCTATTAGTGCAATAACTGGCCATACAGTTAACATACTTGGGGCTTCAGAATTTTTAGTCATGCATTTGTGGATCGGTTGTTGTGTTACACGTCGTAGTGTACTAAGTCCACTGATTTGGTCTACATCATAATGATTCAACTTTCAATAAACTAACCAACTAAGTTTCAGTGGCTCAAGCCTGTACTGCATACATCCACTCGCATCCTTCTGTGCTTTTTTTCTAATCGGAATCGGCGTGAGCTTGGAGATTATGCAATCTCTTTACAACCTACCACAGTGTTCTTAACCAGACATAAGCTACTCTGTGTTGGGATAACGCTTGCAACGTGAAAGCCCAGCACTTCCTGAGATATTGCATTTGAATCTTTTCTAGAATGATATAAACCCAAACTGCTCATCTTACATCACGAGGAAGTAATTCGATAAGCCATTTTGAATCGCTAATCAGTTAATCCACCCTCAAGGTTATTTGGGGGGGGGGGGGTTAAATGCACCATTTGGAGAACAGATTGACTTGTTGTGTCATGACCACTTGCTGAGTCAGTTGAGTTCACGATTTGTGTTGACGTCGCGGTTTCCCGGATCGGATTGACTTGGCGTGGTTTTAGAACTCTCCGATGGCCGCTCTATTGTTAATGGGATGTGCGGTATCTCTCCAATGGTTGGTCTAACCGCTGTTTCCAGCACACACGGCGCTGAGCTAGTACCTTCAGTCCTACATCTGTGGATGATCATCCCTGTTTTAAAATGGGATCTTGTTCCGACCTGTGAAAATTATTTACACACCAGCCTGATCCTCACTGCGGCCAGCCTCTCAGTTGCACCGAATCACTGAAGGACAGCTAGCTTTTGACCTTGGCAGACGGCGCATCGACTACGTATTGACAGTACGTCAGATGCTGAAGCAGGGTCACGTAAGGAACAGTTCCATCTTTCATGTCCTAAGGACAGTTTTATACCACGTGACGGAATCTGGTTGTGGTGCTGCTTTTTTTACGGAGTCGATAAGAAACTTCCGTTCTGAATTGTTCATACCGCTACTGTTTGAAGGCAATCTACCCCGGGCGTTAAATAGTCGCCTGTGCGTTGTTTGACGCCGTATGGGTTAGAAAACGCCATCTGAAGATAATGCTACTTTTTATCATTCCCATGTATACTTCTAGGATCTCCAGCTCGGAGCTTCTCCAAAACTAATTCCATCGTCAGCTTTCATCTTTCATCACAATGGCGGGAGCCCAGCTAATTTGATTACTAATGAGTAGTGGAGCTTTCGGTATAATTCAGGGGTAATTCATCACAGTCCACTCTCAGTCAGCATGCTCTGCCATGTCTGGAAAAGCACAAGACAGCGCTGTTTCGACCTTCTGAGTCTCGTCAGTGGTGCGACCTCCTCGGGCCCCTGTCGGATTCCGACCCCATGACTTCCGGATGCTAGCAGCTTGTGCCAATAAGCCATGGGTGATGGTGGCGGACCTTCATGAATGACAATTGACCATGCTATGGCTCGGTTACTGACCTTAATTCCTAACTGAGTTACCTGTCAGATTTCAGTACACGTCCAGGAGGCTGTTTCATGTTCGTGGTATGAACCGAATGGATCTATCTTTTGTAACCTTTGTTAATCACAACGTTTGTGTTGACAATGCTACTCTCAAGCGTAGATGTTCAAATTGCGTCACGTGCTGCCCACCGAATCCCACGATGTTTCGGATCCCATTTGACCCTAATTTTGTCAGTTGCAACTGGTGCACATCAGACTGTAGGTCAGTTTGGAACATGTGCGTTGTATTCCGACCCCGCTCTAATGTGTACACGCGTGGCACCCCCTTCCAGCTACAGCGGTTTTTCGAACAGCCAACCTCAGTGGGGTTTGCGTTGCGAGTTTCTTTGTCCACCCCTTTCTGCTTAACCTACCTTTCCAACGACGATCTCACTTGTGATGTTTCAAAAAGAACAAACATAATCTACTTTACCTTGCTTTTTGTTTCTTTTTTAACTGCATACTTGCTTCGTATTGTGGCACAGTGCGGAATGCTTGATAATGATTTAGCAGGCTATTTGTGCGCTTAGTCGTACCGTTGGTCCTGTCTCACAGCACGCAGTAGTTGTAAATAGTGACGGAACTCATAGTTTGTAAATTGTGGCTTATTGTCTGCTGCGGTTTTTTCTGGGAGCCCAAGTCTAGCAAACGGATGCTGCAACCATCGTATAATTGTTGGAATGTTCACCTTGACATATAGGTGCATTTCAGGCCATTAACTGTAAAAGCACGTGACCGTCAAACAGTTCCTTTATTGCGGAATGGAATAGTAGTATTAGTAGTATAGTCAGCAGTCTATCAAATAGACTTAGAACCAAGCATAACCATGGAAATTACTAGGGGGGGGGGGCCGGGCCCAGCCGGGGCCGACCGACATCCCGGGGGGGGGCGGGGGCAGCGGGGGGGGGGGGTGGGGGCGGGGGGGGGGGGGGGGGCGGGGGGGGGGGGGGGGGGGGGGGGGGGGGGGGGGGGGGGCGGGGGGGGGGGGGGGGGCGGGGGGGGGGGGGGGGGGGGGGGCGGGGGGGGGGGGGGGGGGGGGGGGGGGGGGGGGGGGCGGGGGGGGGCGGGGGGGGGGGGGGGGGGGGGGGGGGGGGGGGGGTGGGGGGGGGGGGGGGGGGGGGGGGGGGGCGGGGGGGGGGGCGGGGGGGGGGGGGGGGGGGGGGGGGGGGGGGGGGGGGGGGGGGGGGGGGGGGGGGGGGGGGCGGGGGGCGGGGGGGGGGGGGGGGGGGGGGGGGGGGGGGGCGGGGGGGGGGGGGGGGGGGGGGGGGGGCGGGGGGGGGGGGGGGGGGGGGGGGGGGGGGGGGGGGGGGGGGGGGGGGGGGGGGGGGGGGGGGGGGGGGGCGGGGGGGGGGGGGGGGGGGGGGGGGGGGGGGGGGGGGGGGGGGGGGGCGGGGGGGGGGGGGGGGGGGGGGGGGGGGGGGGGGGGGGGGGGGGGGGGGGGGGGGGGGGGGGAGGGGGGGGGGGGGGGGGGGGGGGGGGGGGGGGTGGGGGGCGGGGGGGGGGGGGGGGGGGTGGGGGGGAGGGGGGGCGGGGGGGGGGGGGGGGGGGGGGGGGGGGGGGGCGGGGGGGGGGGCGGGGGGGGGGGGGGGGGGCGGGGGGGGGGGCGGGGGGGGGGGGGGGGGGGGGGGGGGGGGCGGGGGGGGCGGGGGGGGGGGGGGGGGGCGGGGCGGGGGGGGGGGGGGGGGGGGGGGGCCGGGGGGGGGGGGGGGGGGGGGGGGGGGGGGGGGGGGGGGCGGGGGGGCGGGGGGGGGGGGGGGGGGGGGGGGGGGGGGGGGCGGGGGGGGGGGGGGGGGGGGGGGGGGGGGGGGGGGGGGGGAGGGGGGGGGGGGCGGGGGGGGGGGGGGGGGGGGGGGGGGGGGGGGGGGGGGGGCGGGGGGGGGGGCGGGGGGGGGGGGGGCGGGGGGGGGGGCGGGGGGGGGGGGGGGGGAGGGGGGGGGGGGGGGGGGGGGGGGGGGGGGCGGGGCGGGGGGGGCGGGGGGGGGGCGGTGGGGGGGGGGGGGGGGGCGGGGGGGGGGGGGGGAGGGGGGGGCGGGGGGGGGGGGCGGGGGGGGGGGGGGGGGGGGGGGGGCGCGGGGGGGGGGCGGGGGGGGGGGGGGGGGGGGGGGGGGGGGGGGGGGGGGGGGGGGGGGGGGGGGGGGGGGGGGGGGGGGGGGGGGGGGGGGGGGGGGGGGGCGGGGGGGCGGGGGGGGGGGGGGGGGGGGGGGGGGGGGGGGGGGGGGGGCGGGGGGGGGGGGGGGGGGGGCGGGGGGGGGGGGGCGGGGGGGGGGGGGGGGGGGGGGGGGGGGGGGGGGGGCGGGGGGGGGGGGGGGGGGGGCGGGGGGGGGGGGGGGGGGGGGGGGGGGGGGGGGGGGGGGCGGGGGGGGGGGGGGGGGGGGCGGGGGGGGGGGGGGCGGGGGGGGGGGGGCGGGGGGGGGGGGGGGGGGGGGGGGGGGGGGGCGGGGGGGGGGGGGGGGGGGCGGGGGGGGGGGGGGGGGGGGGGGGGGCGGGGGGGGGGGTGGGGGGGGGCGGGGGGGGGGGGGGGGGGGGGGGGGGGGGGGGGGGCGGGGGGGGGGGGGGGGGGGGGGGGGGGCGGGGGGGGGGGGGGGGGGGGGGGGGGGGGGGGGGGGGGGGGGGGGGGGGGGGGGGGGGGGGGGGGGGGGGGGGGGGGGGGGGGGGGGGGGGGGGGGGGGGGGGGGGGCGGGGGGGGGGGGGGGGGGGGGGGGGGGGGGGGGGGGGGGGGGGGGGGGGGGGGGGGCGGGGGGGGGCGGGGGGGGGGGGGGGGGGGGGGGGGGGGGGGGGGGGGGGGGGGGGGGGGGGGGGGCGGGGGGGGGGGGGGGGGGGGGGGGGCGGGGGGGGGGGGGGGGGGGGGGGGGGGGGGGGGGGGGGGGGGGGGGGGGGGGGGGGGGGGGGGGGGGGGGGGGGGGGGGGGGGGGGCGGGGGGGGGGGGGGGGGGGGGGGGGGCGGGGGGGGGGGGGGGGGGGGGGGGGGGGGGGGCGGGGGGGGGGGGGGGGGGGGAGGGGGGCGGGGGGGGGGCGGGGGGGGGGGGGGGGGGGGGGGGGGGGGGGGGGGGGGGGGGGGGGGGGGGGGGGGGGGGGGGGGGGGGGGGGGGGGGGGGGGGCGGGGGGGGGGGGGGGGGGGGGGGGGGGGGGG